CAAACAAACAAACAAACAGACAAACAGAGGTGGACAGAACCTACGGGAACAGCGATTCCACAAATGCATTAAATATTTGCTATGACAAGGAGTCATTTGTGGGCGTCAGGGCTGCCCCGCAGGGAGGACGGTCCTCCGTGTGGAAGCAGGCTGTCCTGCTCAGAGGACGGTTCTCCCCGTGGAGGAGGGCTGTCCCGCAGGGAGGACCCCGCCCGAGGCCAGCCCCCACGCCCAGAGGAAAAGCACAGGCTGGCACGCCCGCGGAGGGAAATGGGAGCGCGCTCTGGGTAAAGGCTGGGGTCGGGCGAGGAAAGGGAAATGATTTGCGGGTTTTCCTTGGCAGCTCGTTCCTTCATATTCCTGCAGAGGAAGCGTGGTTTCCTCCCAGGTTCCCGACCCTGACGTCAGCTCCTGTCCGGGACCAGCTGGCCCGGCTCCCCCCCCGCAGCCCACCTGGAGGCGTAACTGGGAGTCTGGGAGGAAATGCCGGGCCGGAGGAACACATTTGCAGAGAAAGAGGCGTGAAACGCGGGCTCGCCTAAACACGGGCTATTCTGGTGGCGTGGGCCCGGCCTTACTCCTGGCCCGGGGCGGTCTGAGGGGTGCCGTCCGGGGAAGGAAGGGGCTGCACCGCAGGCGGGCGTGTTTGTGTGTTTCCACCTGCCGGCTCGGCTCAGCGGGGCAGCAGTCGGGTGTTTGCACAGCTGCGGGGAGGAAGGCCCCGGTGTGGCCGCCAGGGGTTCGCAAACCAGAAAAACAGGCCTGGGGAGGGCATGGAAGTCTAAAGGCACCACCTCGGCCAAAGCAAACGGTGCCGGATGCGGAGCCACAGGGCTTCGCGGAGAAGGGACCAGCACGACCCCTGACCGGCCACGGCCGCTGCATGGTGGTCATGAGCTGTCCACACGGCCGTGCAGAGCTCCGTGCGCGCGGAGGCCTCGGTCCGCAGAGCCTGGTGCATTCCCCTGGAGCCTCTAAGGACGAGGAGTGGGTGCCTCTCAGCCCAGCGTCCCTGCAGCCCGGGCCAGACCGCCTGCTGGCTGCAGCCTGCCCTGCTCCTCCTCACCTGTCTGCCCTCCGGCAGCGCTGCCCGCCCAGCGCACACGCCCCTCTGTCTCACCCTGTGCCACCAGGGCCAGTGCACAGTCTCCCAGCCCTGCTGACGCCCATCGGCCTCCAGATGGGCACCAGGGAGCTCAGGGGTTAGCCGCGGGGGAGATGGGCGCCATGTGACGTGGTGGCCGTCCGGCCATCCAGGAGAACGGAGGGCGTTTGTGAGCCATGCCCACGCCGCCACGGACGCCTCGGGGACGTGAGCTGTCCCCCTTCCCCCGGTCAGCACGCGTGTGGCCTCTCAGATTAGGCCCGGCAGCAGCCTGTCTGGGTGATGTGTGCAGGGGGCCAGGCTGAGCCTCCATCGCTGCCTGCCCACCTCCCGGACACTCCGACCCCACACCCTGGCCCGGCCCCGGCCCTGACCTCTGCCTGTCACAGCCACCGAACACAGACTGAACCCGGAGGGAGAAAGCCATGGATCAGATCGGAGCCACGTGCCTCGGCGGGGTGGGGCGGCACACAGCCTGGGCGCACACTGCCCTCGGTGGCATCCTGGCAGGGGTCTGCTGGCAGCCAAGTTCCTTACTGAAGGGCCTCCTCTTTAGCATGTGGTGCAGCGGTGCAGGGAGCCCAGCAGCCCAGCAGGGGGCAGCGTGGTGGGGTGGGGAGACTGACAGGCTCTGACTGACATCTGCCCACTGGCCTCCGAGGCCCAGCTGCCACCACAGAACCCGCTAGGCTGCCCGGCAGAAAAGACCCGGCTGTGTCTTCAGCCCCGACTGACAGGACGCACCGGGGCCCAGGGACCTGCGGCTGCTCCTCTGGGTGAGGTGGGGGGGGAGCTTCGGGGACGGGACGGTTCGGTGGGCAGAACAGGGCAGGACTGGGCCCGGAGGGAGGGGGTCCTCCCCTGGGCAGTGTGTGTGAGGGGACTCCTGAGTCTGGGGATCGGAGGGTGGGGGCTGCGGACAGAGCAGGATGGCAATAGGACCATTTCTTAGGTGAAGTGTATTGGGGTGACATTGGTTAGGCAACACGACCCATTTGAAGGCCTTTACCTTGAGGAGTCTGACTGGAACCAGCTCTCTGAGAAGATGAAATGGAAGTGCATTGACTGGGAGGGCAGCCCGGCCGGTGCAGCTCAGTGGTTGAGTGTCGCCTAAGAACCAGGAGGTCACAGTTTGATTCCCGGGTCACAGGCTCGATCCCCTGTGTGGGGTGAGAAGGAGGCAGCCGATCCATGATTCTCATCGTTGATGTGTGTCTCTCTCTCTCTTCTCTCTGAAATCAATAAAAATGTAAAATAAAATGGAAGTGCACTGGCTTTCAGGATGGTGTTGGTGAGCAGCATCCGAGCTCTGGCTAAGACGTGTCCTCTGGGGCCCAAGCCCGTGAACAGCATAGATAGTCTCAAACTCAAACTACAGGCAGCCATTGTCTCTCTCTTTCCAGAACCAATAAGCTATTAGGTATAAATGAGCCCCCCCAAATAAGGCAAAACAATGTTAAGTATAACAGAAAAAATAAACAAAACCGAGTAAGTTGATATATTTTTAAAAACACTTAAAATATGTCCTTTTCAATTTGGAAACCAAAATCAACGTGAGCATTTTAACCTGTGGAACTGAAAACAGCCGAGAGCTGGAAACATGCAGGTGGCCACGCAGGAACGCTGCGGGCTGGTTTCTGAGTGTATTTTTATTGTTCACGGAAGAATGAGGGTGATGGTGCGAAGGTCCTACACCCTCCCGCTGCAGGGAGAGCATCATAAGCAGCAGGACTGAATAACAGTGTGAACCTTTCACTAAGACCAGGCAACTCTAAACGAGACCTGCCTAGTGTCCACGGCACCACGTGGTAGAAACGGCATCTCCATTTCACAGATGGGAAAACTGAGGCCTGAGAGACCCAGTGGCAGCTGCAGCCACGCTAACTCAGCCCGGGAAGACCGCCGAAGGCCCGCAGAGGGGACTGTGATGGGTTTCTCATCGGAAGCTGAGAGCACCTTCCACACAGACATTTGCTCAGAAGCCATTGCAGTTGCTTAGCTCACCCGAGCCCCTCAGGCTCAGACACCAGACCTACCACCTGTTTCAGCCGCGTGTGAGACCACTTCTCTCACCAGCGGCCACGTCTTCTTATCATCGAGTGACTGCTCACTTATCAGGACCCGATGCCCTCGAGGCTTGATGTGACAGGAAGAGGCTTCCCATCGCCTGCCAGGCCTGCAGTGCATTCCACGTTCACCTCTGGCCACACGTTTATCCCGAGGACAGCGAGTGCCCTGGGCCGCGCACAGCCCCGGCTGCTGACCGCACAGACAGCGCCCAGGCCCCGGCGGAGGCCAGCAGGTACCGGACAGGTAGATGGTGACGGAGGATATGCTGTTGTGCCAAAAACAAAGCCATTCCTCCCACTCACCACCTATCGGCCTTGCCGGCAAGTTAAGCTCTGAGTGTTAGCCGGCCACACGGCCGCGCAGAAGGAGGTCAGCGTTACCTACCTCACTCGAGTGAAATACGGCTCTCGGAGCTTCGAGTGACAGGGGAAGGGGGCCATGGCCGCGCTCTGAGGGAGGCGCTGTACCCAGCTCCAGACCTGCCCTGCGGGCTGAAGTGAGAACTCCTGCCCCAGAGCCGGAGCCTGTGGAGGCAGAGGGGTCGCGTTTCAGGGGCAGAGGAGCCAGTCCGAAGGTCACGGCCATCCCCAACCCTAGACGGCTTCCCTCTGGACCGAGCTGGTGTGGGCAAACATTGCTCCTGTGTACTTCCTGTGGGGGGGTTCCTGTCCCTCCCGTCGGACGCAGATCCGCTAAGCGGCCATTGGGAGTGAAGCTGCTTTGTGGGAGATTGGCACGGGCGGTCAGAGCACTGAGAGGACAGGGGCAGCTGGCCGGTTGGAGCTGGCCTAGTGCAGTCACGTCTCAGTGAATGTCCGCACTGAAGGTATTGATTAGATTCCGGTGAGAAACCGTTGTGCCAAAGTCGACAAGGTAGACAGACGTACAGAAAACCAGGAGGCAGGACCGAGGGCGCCTGTGGCCTCCGGACAGGGGATGCAGGAAGGTCTCGGGAGCAGGTCAGAGTCCTGGTGCAGAGAGCCCTAGGCGGAGGGGGCGAGCTGCAGCCAGTGGGGGGTGGGAGGGGGTGACAAAAGCAGGAATCCAGGAATGGGGGCCCGCTGTGTCTCAGCCAGATCCCACACTCCCTTTCCTTGCCTCCCCGCCACCCGCCCCAAAATCCTGACCCCCAGCGCTCACAGGGTCTCTTCCAACAGCGCCACCCAGTCAGGAGGCTCAGCTTCTGCTCAGAGCTGCCTGCAGCTCGGTATCCAACATCCATGTCAGAAGGCTCCCTTGTCCCCAGACGGACATTTCCCATCCTCCCGGCCCAGCCAGGGCTGGCCTCCTATCCAGTGCGTCACTTACCTTCTTCCTTTTTTAAATAGATTTTTATTGATCTCAGAGAGTAAGGGAAACAGAGATAGAAGCATCAGTGATGAGAGAGAATCATGGCTCTGCTGCCTCCTGCATGCTCCCTACTGGGGATGGAGCCCACAATCTGGGCACGTGCTCTAATTGGGATTGAACCGTGACCTACTGGTTCATAGGTCAACGCTCAACCGCTGAGCCACACGGGCCTAGCGCTAGCCCCCTTCCTGAGTTCCACGGCTGTGAGTGCCCACACCTCCCTCTCAGGGGCGGACACCCTACCATCCACTCTAATCCGTGCCCGCCTCGCCATCACAGCCAGGACGCAGCACCAGCCCTTCCTCCTAAGCCGGCCCCATCCCTGGGCCGTTGTCTCCTCCGCAGAAGGCGGCCAGAGCCCTGCTGCCCCTCCCTGCACGCCGCACCCCCAGATCGCAGTGCAGAGCCCTAATCTCCGCTCCATCCCGCCAGGAGGCTGAGGCTGAGTGTCCGAGCTATATATAGCCCTGACGTCAGCGGACGCCAGGCTTCGGAGGCACAGTCCCCGGAGGAGCGGAGCGAGGACCATGCCATCAGCGGCTCAGGGGTAGACCTCGGCCCAGGAGCACCCCACCCGCCGCGGCCTCCCGCCACCGGGCCGTCCTGCTGGGAAGCACGGGCGAGGGCAAGGTGAGTGCAGGCTTCCTGAGCGAGCTCTCCCTCCGTGGTCACCCGGGGCTGTGGCTCACAATGAGCATTCTTCCCCTAAGGGACAGCTGTGGATGCCAATTTTAAACAATCGCCCCCGCACAGTGTGTCGGCCTGGTCTGCGTGCCGGCCTCCCTGTGCAGCCTGCGGCCGGGGCTGGATGCTGGGGAGGGGGCCGGAGGGACACAGGGAGTCCAGAGGGACGGGGGGCAGAGGGACGCGGGGGGCCAGGAGGGCGCAGGGACAGTGAGCCTGAGCGGGGAGAGCTGGGAGGGCAGCTCTCTCGGTCCCCGCTGCCTGGGGTCCTTGTGCGGAGACAAGACCACCGAGCCCGCGTCCCCTCTGCTCACTGCGGCTGCCGTCCAGGGCGACAGGCTCCGGCCCGGCGGGCGGGGGGGGCGGATACTTCCAGGGAAACAAGGCTCTGACAGGACAGCACCACCTGCCCCCCCACCTCCGCCCCAGCACCTCCGCCGCCTCAGCACGGCTGTTTCCACAGGGAACACGCGATGCTGTCACACAGTGCCACGGGGAGGCAGAGGAGGCAGCAGGCCTCGGCCATCATGCAGGAGGTCCACGGACACGGTGCCCACCCCCGAGTGGAGGGGACATACTAAGGGACACGGTGCCCACCCCCGTGTGGAGGGGACATACTAAGGGACACGGTGCCCACGCTCCGTGTGGAGGGGACGTAGTGAGGGACACGGTGCCCACCCCCGTGTGGAGGGGACATACTAAGGGACACGGTGCCCACGCTCCGTGTGGAGGGGACATACTAAGGGACACGGTGCCCACACCCGTGTGGAGGGGACGTAGTGAGGGACACGGTGCCCACCCCCGTGCCCACACCCGTGTGGAGGGGACATACTAAGGGACACGGTGCCCACCCCCATGTGGAGGGGACATACTAAGGGACATGGTGCCCACCCCCGTGTGGAGGGGACGTAGTGAGGGACACGGTGCCCACCCCCATGTGGAGGGGACATACTAAGGGACATGGTGCCCACGCCCGTGTGGAGGGGACAGAGTGAGGGACACGGTGCCCACGCCCGTGTGGAGGGGACGTAGTGAGGGACACGGTGCCCACGCCCGTGTGGAGGGGACGTAGTGAGGGACACGGTGCCCACCCCCGTGTGGAGGGGACGTAGTGAGGGACACGGTGCCCCCCCCCCGTGTGGCCTGGACGTGGCTCAGCACTAAGGGGCCCCCGGCGTGGTAGGAGCCTGTGGCCTCCGTGGCTCTCGCGTTCCGGGCAGCGGGCGGGAGCCGCCGGTGCTAAGCCTTTGTAGTCGCCCTCATCTGGAAGCTATTTTCAGAGGAGCGGCTGCCCGGCAGGAATGCGGCACCGACAGCTGATGTGCGTTCCGTGGGGTCTGCCGTGAGCAGCGACCAGCTCGGCTCTTCCTCCCCTGGGCAGGCCTCCCGAGGTCTCACGTCCACCCCGGGCAAAGCTCGACGTACTCTCCCTTCTGCCCACAAATCACTCCAACAGGCCCTGCCGTCCCTTCCTTGCCAACAACAGAAGACAGATGGGAAGTGGGATCCATAGTCACGGTCACTCCTCCCCCTGAGGCCGAGTCATCCTGAGTGATACTCAGCGAGGACTTGGGCTGGGAATCTTTTATTCGTGATTCCTGGGAAAAGACGAAGCTCTCGTCATCTCAGCGCTCACGATGCAAACCATTCTCCGGAGAAGTGACGGGCGACGTGCCGACGCTCCCTCCTGACCCAGGGGCTCCTCCCTGCACGCTGATTGTTGTAAAGAAGCGGCTTTGCCGGGCAAAGGGTGGCATGGAGGTCACAGAGACAAAGCAGCGTGCTGGGGGCCTTCGGGGCTGAGCTGAGCGGTTCCGGCAGACTGGGGCTCTGCCGGAGGCTCCGCCAGGAGGAGCCTCGCCTTCCGGAAAACAGCCCTGCGGCCAGGCCTGAGGTCTGGGGCGGGCAGGGAGAGGCGTGGCCACTGGCCTTCCCTGAGGGAGGAAGGGGACAGGGAGCCGGGTCGATCATCCGACAGCGCAGGCGGGAGCGGGTGCCGGGCCGGTCCTTTCCTGGTTCCCAAGAGATGAGTCGGCACAGGGACCCGGCTCCTTGCCCGTGGTCCACGGCGTCGAACGGCTTGGGAGAATGTGAGGAGGATCCGGACTCGGTTTCCAGAACTGACACCGACCCAGAGTGCCCAGGTCCACGTGCAGGCTTCCTCCTGTGTGCTTCCTGCTTCAGGGCATCTCCGACACGGTTCTCACCGTTCTCCTGACCATGCGGCAAAATCAGGTGGCCACTGAGTGAGACAAAGTTGCTTCCCTTAACACTAGACCTGAGCAGCGTGACCATTTTCTCATTCCTCATAATCCTCATAATCGCTTGTCAGACCCATTTCCTGAATCCCAGTTTACATCCTGCGTGGGCCCTGCTCTGCCAGTCCAGACACACACCTACAAGGATGAGAATAGCTTGCCTTTATAGTGTAACATTGGTGTTTATCAAAGATTTAAAAAGTGCAACTGCTGCCTCACCCCAGGCGATGCGGGTCCCCGAAGCCCCCCTTGGGGTCACAGGGAGTCCACCCCGTAGCGGGGTCACGGGCTCAGCCCTATTCCCGGCTCCCGGTGCCAGCTGGCAGGGTGGCCACGTGGCCCTGAGTCCCGCCCACAGAGCAGCTCTGTGTAGGAGCAGCTTCAGCCACCCCTGTGGCTCCCCCCGTGTCTCCTGGGGACGCTGTCTGCTTGCAGCTTGGCCTCCGGGACCTGGAGGTCCAGGGGGCTCGCTGTCTGAGGAAGCGGCTGGAGGCCCGGACGGCAGAGACCCGTTCTGGGCGCGATCCTCCAGACCTCCCAACACCGCACAGCAGCCGGAGCTGTGACTTCAGACCAAGCACGCGACTGCTTCCCACTGATTACCAGGCTGACCCAGTCACTCAGACCGCCGACTTCATAAAAGCAAAGAGGGAACGCCCTCGGAGCCCCCTCCCTGTGCCTCAGGCTCTTTGTAGCATGACCTTCACATATGACCGTCACGTGTTTTTTCATTCCCCTTTCAACAAACACGGAGCCCACAGGACAATGGGAGGTGGTCATGACCGCTCAGCGAGTCTCTTCTTAGCAGGAGGGGGGTGGGGTTCGGCCTGTTCCTGTTGGGGGAGACCCAGCAGGTGTGCCTTTGAGATGAAGCCGTGGGAAAGATGAAGCTAAAAAAACAAGAGTTTTACATCGGAGCCTTCACCATCATGAGGAAGAAATGACCGCAGAGAACCACTGCGGAGGCTCTCCACATGGACTCCCCAGGAGGAACCACAGACCGAGGCACTGCCGTTGCTAACCCACCCCAGTCGTCTCCCTGGGCCCAGGGTGCTTGGTGTCAAACCACGTTTGGACAAAGACATGGTACACCGGCGGACAGCTGACCAGAAGGCCCCGGCCCAGGTACCGCTGTTGTACTCATCACCATCACCATCACCATTGCCAGCACCATCGCCATCACCATCACCATCATTGCCATCACCACCACCATCACCACCACCATCACCATCACCACCACCATCACCATCACCATTACCAGCACCAATACCATCACCAGCACCATCACCATCACCAGCACCAGCACCATCACCATCACCATCACCAGCACCAGCACCATCACCATCAGCAGCACCATCACTAGCACCAGCACCAGCACCATCACCAGCACCAGCACCATCACCAGCACCAGCACCAGCACCATCAGCAGCACCATCACTAGCACCAGCACCAGCACCAGCACCAGCACCAGCCCACGGAGCAGCCGCCCCCGTTATGCGGAGGTACAAAGTCCCTGTCTTCACAGAAGTACCAGAGCCACGATGCTACCATCCAGGTGCGGCTCTCAGACCCACAGCACCACGAAGGGACTCCAGCATGTGCACCTGAGTTAGCTGTGACCTGTGTCCTGTTCTGCAGTGACCGCCACCTTCCCCTGTCAGCACCTCGAAGACTGAGGACAGAGGGGGGAGAAGAGGGTCAGAGGTCACTGACAGAGGGACTAGGGGGGCAGGATGGATGGAGAGGCCAGACACCCTGGCTGGTGCCCAGAGGTAGCAGAACAGCCACGGGAGGTGGGGGCCCGTGTCCCCGATTGTAGGCACAGACATTGCCAGTAGCTTAGGAGCTTCAGAAGCGGGGGGGACCCCCCCTGAGGCTGTTCTGCCGCCTCCAGCTCCCTCACCCGGGCTCTGTGAGGGCTTGTTGGTGTTTCTTTCCTCTTGGAATGGTTTTGGTTTGGGTTTTCTCCCTCATAACTTGGGAGCCGCTTTCCCAGCACCAGGGAGAGGACTGGGCTGGGCAGACTGCTGTGACTCCAAGAGAAGGGCTTAGTTTGTGCAAGTGGGGGGCCCAGGTCCACATGGGGTGCGTGTCCAATGGTGTCCCAGGAGCCCTGGGGTCCAGACCACACACACATCAGAGTCCTCGTCAGACAACGAGGAGGCTGGGCGTGCTGACACGTTAAATTCTCGGTCCCTGACGCTGTTACGGAGCTGTGTTTGTGCAAGCAGCAAGCATCGTGTTTGGAGTTTCTCCATCAATAACAGAGGCACACCAATATTAACACAGACTGCGGAGCTCTCTAAAATGCACGGAGCATAACAGCTTGAATTTCAGATGGAAGATTTTGTGAAGACCCTCTTCCTTTTCCCGTCTCAGCAGATCTTACACTGCAGGTGATCACGTCATCATTATTAAAACAAGGACAGCAGATCAGAAAGTCCGAGGCAGAAAAATCACTTAGCCTAATGCCTGAGTATACAAGTCTGCTCATTTTCTTTGGGTTAAAATTTCTCATCACCCCCGCCCCCCAAACAAGAAAGATGTTTTATTTGGAAAGCAGTGTAGTTTCTGACCAGTGTTTCATTGAAGCCACACGATTCCTTCACCGGTGCCTTTGTTGCCCATGCCATTAACAGCAGCTCTACGCAGTCCTGTTTGTGGAACACAATCTGTGTCATTTAATGCATTGGTAATCTCATTTCCTCAGTGTTTATAGATTTACATAGCCATTAAGAGAGGATATTGTTATTAACAGAACTTTAAAGTCTTAGAACTCAAATCAAGGCAAAGAGATATAAAATAAGAAAATCAAAAAAGTTGCACGTGTGTTTCAATATCAATTTTATTAGTGTAGAGAAAATTATTACTAAACTTTTAATCAGTTGTAGGCATTATGCACAATCACAGGCTGCATTATTATCTTTTACTAGAGGCCCGATGCACGAAATTTGTGCATGGGGTGTGTGTCCCTCAGCCCAGCCTGCACCCTCTCCAATCTGGGACTCCTCTCACATTCCAGGACTGCTGGCTCCCAACTGCTCTCCTGCCTGCCTTCCTGATTGCCCCTAACTGCTTCTGCCTGACAGCCTGATCACCCCCTAACCACTCCCCTCCCAGCCTGATTGATGCCTAACTGCTCCCCTGCCAACCTGATTACCCCTAACTGCCCTCCCCTGCTGGCCTGGGTCCCCCCTAACTGACCTTCTTTGTAGGTCCCCCAACTTTCCTCCTCTGCTGGCCTGGTCACCTCTAACTGCCCTTCCCTGCAGGCCTGGTTCCCCCCAACTGCCCTCCCTTGCAGGCCTGGTCCCTCCCCTGCTGGCTTGAACACCCACAACTCTCTTCCTCTGCTGCCCTGATCATCCACAACTGCCCTCCCTTGCAAGCCTGGTTCCTCCCAAAAGCCCTCCCCTGCTGGCCATCTTGTGGCAGCCATCTTGTGCCCACATGGAGGCAGCCATCTTTGATCATATGGGGGCAGCCATCTTGTGTGTTGCAGTGATGGTCAATCTGTATATTACTCTTTTATTATATAGGATAGAGGCATGGTGCATGGGTGGGGGCCAGCTGGTTTGCCCTGAAGGGTGTCCTGGATTAGGGTGTGGGTTCCCTTGGGGCATGGGGCAGCCTGGGCAAGGGGCCTGTGGTCATTGGCGGGCCTGCCACACCCCTCCCCTGGGTGACCCAAATGGAGACCCTGGTATCTGGGATTTATTTATCTTCTATAATTAAAACTTTATAACCTTTAGCAGAGGCCAGGGCCAGCCAGGAAGCTTGGCTTCCTTCATCGCTGGGGGCTACCCAAGCCTCCTGCTCTCTCCAGCTCCATGGCTGCCACCATTTTTGTTGGGATTTATTTTCTTCTATAATCGAAACTTTGTAGCCTTGAGTGGAGGCCAGGGCGGGAAGCTTGGCTTCCTTTATTGCTGGGAAAACCTAAGCCACCTGCTCGCTCGGTGGCCACAGCCATCTTGGTTGTGTTAATTTGCATGCTTGCTCTTGATTGGCTGGTCCACGAGGCTGTGGGCATAGCAGAGTTATGGTCAATTTGCATGTTTCTCTTTTATTAGTGTAGATGTGACACAGTATACTGTGCAACAATGTATCTTTCCTAGGGGCATATGCAATCCACATGGGCCACCTGCAGGCAGTCCTGTTGTGGGCAGAGAAAACCTCAAGGCCTCAGCCAGGCTCCTCAGGGAGTCCCAGGCCCCCCTGCAGCTGGGCATTCTGGGGGCTCTCCTCAGAGGGGTGCCCCCTCCACCAGAAGTGAAGCTGCCAGGCATCATGGGAAACATCTGTAAAAAGAGGTTATGTGTAAGTGGGTACTTTCACAAAGTATGAGTGGAATTCACTTACTTCTCTTAAATTTGTCACTTTGGCAGGATCACAATTTCAAATTTAAAATACAACATTCTTGGGCACACATAAATCACTGTTAACTTAATTTCAGGATATTAACCTATGAAACTAATGTGAAAAAAAAACACACCAGAATGTTTCCTTTTGGAGGAATTTAAGCCCAGGGCCTACTCAGAAGAGTACACATGGAAGTGAGGTTCGAAAAAGGAACTGATCACATTTCCAATGATGACTCATATTCCCCAATAAAATGTGATTTTCCTTTTGGCTCCCAGAATCCAGAGCAGCATGGCTCCACAGTATGAGATTTCTATGTAAGACTTTAAATCTTAATTTAACTACAAAGAGATTGTACATTTGAAGACATTACAAGAAAGAATATTGATAACAATTATTTAATATTTGTAGTAGATTAAAAATTGTGAGTTTTTTGGTGGAAATTAATTTGATTATGGTCAAGACCCTAAAGTTATATGATATCTATCAGTTCATAATTACATAGTTATTCAAAGAAAACCCTTAATCTGCTTGAAAGAACAGTAAACTATAATAGATGAAGTCCCATCAAATGATTGAAGAATAAACAGAGTCCTGCCTCAGCGTCAATGACATCAGTAGGAAAGTACGCCCAGCGATATTATTTTCATTGGGTGACCTAATGCCACAAAGACAGCCTTCTAATCCACGGGTCAAGGATGTGTGTGTATCCTGACGCGTTGTATCACTTACCAGGCATCCAGCTCCCCCGGCGGCTGAGACCCCCGGGCTGTGCAGCCAAGGCCGGGGACAGCTGACGGGGCCGCCTGTGCCCAGCTGGCAGCCTCTGCACGCTGAGCCTCAGGCGGCCGAGTCCATACCGTAGGCTCTCCCCTGGCAGGCGGTCTGGGAAGAAAGCCTCACCTCGGAGAACTCACTTTGTCTTTGGTTGTTTGTTTATGCACAATATGTTGGCCTATGCCTGTGCTTAGGAGTGTGCTAGTAACTATCTAACTGCTGGTTCTTTTTTTTTGGGGGGGGGGGGGGGGGGCGGGGAGGCACGGGGGGATGCCTCGGTTTGCAGAGTTGGCTAATTTCTGAGGGATAAGCACTCCCTCGGTGCCCGATTTCAGTGCCATCAGGGTCACTGCAGGCCGGCCTGAGAGAGAGGTGCAGTAAGGGACCTTGTGTGGGTTCCACCGAGCAGATCCAGCAGAGAGCTACCATCAAGGGCACACGGACAGCGAAAAGGAGTATACGATGTAGAACGTGATCCTTTTGAGCTGGGTGGCTCCTCATTGAATTTCCATTTTGAGATAACTATAGTTTCCCATGCAAACATGAGAACTAATTCAGAGCTGCCCCCTGGGGCTTGCCCCAGGGTCCCCCAGCGATAACGCCTCCTAAATGAGAGTGGACCCCACAGCCAGGAACCACCCTGAGCTGGTCAGGACTCCTGCCCGTCACTGCTCCTCGTGTGTGTGTGTGTGTGTGTGTGTGTGTGTGTGTGTGTGTGTGAATATTGAACGGGTCTCGCCTCCATGGCATAAACCCCACTGGCTCATGTAGAACCATGTCCACACGTTGTGGCATTCTACTCGTGAAAACTGCGAAGGACCTCTGCTCCTGCTGGGGAGGGACATTGGTCCTGGCCTCCTGTGTGTTCTCCTGGTTGGGTTTGGTGTCAGGGTTGTGTTAGTTAACAATGAATTGGGAAGTGCTCCCTCACCTTCCACTTTCAGACAGAGTTCTCCAGCGGAGCCTTTTAGCTCTGAAGGCCTCGCGGCTGGGGCCTTGGGGCTGGGGCCTTGGGGCTGGGTGCCTCAGGCTGGGTGCCTCCGGGCTGGGCACAGAATGATAGTGTCTGACAGAGACAGGGAAACAGGGTGGCACGGGTGAAGGGGTGGCACTCCAGGGGGAGGGACAGCTCAGACTGATCCCTGCACAGTGGGGAGAACACGGAGCTCATCAGGAGACTCTGGGCAGTGCTGCCGGCACTAAGTGTGGGGGTCAGCACCCTGCCGCTCCCGTGACAGCTCACACCCACCCTTCTCCGCGCCACGCGCCACGCGGAAGACGGCGCCTGCAGCACTGCTCCCAGTCCTCCTCCCAGCCCGTGCGGAGGGTCTGAGGACCCCTTTGGAGACCGGGCGTGAGGGCAGGAGGTCAGTGCCGTACCCGTGACCGGTGGCTGGCATGGAGGGAAGCCAGGTAGCAGCGGGCCAAGGAGAGCACCCAGGCCCCAGCCTGCAGGCGGCGGGACAGGCCGGAGTGGGGAGGCGCCTGAGTCGTGTGGTGTCGCTCTGCAGGCGGTGGCATGGACCTGGGCCGGAAGGTGAGCGTGCCGCGGGACATCATGCTGGAGGAGCTGACCCACCTGGCCAACCGCGGCGCCCGGCTCTTCCGGATGCGCCAGCGCCGCTCCGACAAGTACACCTTCGAGAACCTCCAGTACGAGTCGCGAGCGCAGATGCACGTACGTAGCCTGGGCCATGGGCGTGTGCACACATGGGCCCGTCTCCCCCCGCGTGGGATCACCAGGCTCCCAAACACGTGTTCTCCGCGGTCCTCCCTCCGACTTGGGGAGACCCTTTCTCCATGGGTCCAGGGGAGCTGTGGGGCTGAGTGTGGAGCTCGGCGGGGACGTGGTGAGCCTGTGCATGAGGCACTGAGCCCGCCGGGCCTGCCAGGGGCGGGGGAGGTGGCGGTCTTATCAGGCTGCTCGGTGTGGGTGGGGCACTCCCGGGCACAGGGCGCCCCGCAGGGCGGGGAGGTTCCGGGAGCTGCAGACACTCGGGTCCCCAGCACTGACTGTGTGTGGGGTAGGGAGGGCCGTGCTCTTAACCTCAGTGCCATCGAGGGCAAGCTCCTTGGACCAAAGCTTTCCTAAGGTAGAAGGCAGTAACCGGTAAAGTAAGACATGGGACAGGGAGGCGTGGGACAGACTGACACACCTTGACGTGAGGGCAGGGACACCAGAAGAGATAAATCACAGACCTTAAATACCTACTAGAGGCCCGGTGCACAAACTCCTGCACGGCCCCAATCCGGGCAGATCAGGGCTGGACCTGTCAGGAGGAGGAGATGGCGGGAGGTTGGCTGGCTGGCTGGAATGCCCTGATAGGTCAACCAAGGCCAGGCCAGCTGGGGGAAGGGACCTCGGTGATTGGCCAGTGGGATGCACCCCCTGATTGGCATTGGATGCCGATTGGGGATGGGGATGGCCATCGGGAGGGGCTGTGGGTTGTGGTCCAGCTGACGCCACCACATTGGGGTGGGGGGTGCCAATCAGGGCCAGTGGTCTGGGGGAGAAGCCATGGGTGGTTGATCCGCCAGCCCGCCCTTAATTGGGGGGGGGGGGCAATCTAGGGTAGGGCCAGGCAGAGGGAGGGGCTGCAGGAAGATTGGCTGGACAGCCCCACTCCCTATTAAGGGGGTGGGGGGCTTTCAGGGGGCGTGTCTGGCCAGGGGGAGGGGCTACAGGAGATTAGCTAGCGGCCCTGCACCCTATTGAGGTGGGGTCAGGAGTGGGGCTGGCCAGAGAGAGGGTCTCAGGTTGATCAGGGTGGTGGGGGCCCATCAGGGGCATGGCCAGCTGCGGGGAAGGACTGCAGGAGATTGGCTGGCCAGCCCTGGCCCCTATTGGAGGTGTGTGATCAGGATTAGGGCCTTGGGCTGGGGCCTTGGGATTGGCTACAGGAGGTTGGCCGCCCAGCCCCACCCCCTGATCAGGCTGGTTCGCTGGCCATAGTGGGCATTATAGGGACCAGTTGTTAGTCATTATGGCTGTTATGGCCACTGGCTTTTTATATAGAGAGATATACATAGCCATGGACACGGGCCATAGAGTGGAGAAGACATAGGGTGTGGTAGGGGTTGAGAGGAAGAGGGAAAAGGGAAGAGGAAATGGGAGATATTTATAATATTATATTTAAAAATGAAAAACAAATAACACTAGTAAACAAGCATACTCCCCGGTGCTCAATGCCATTTGCTCAAATATTATCATTTTTAAAATAGAAAATGTAGGTGCAGTTTGGGCTTCCTCTGCTGCTCAGCACTGCCCCAGGGAGCCGCACAAACCTCCTCTGACACGGGAGACGCACTGCCTCCACAGGAGCCGCAGGCCTGGGGCTGGGACACAGCCGGGCTCCCTTCTCTGGCTCCCGTCACACAGAAAGACAGACAGGGACAGGGCGAAGGAGAGGGCCTCCGGGAAACACAACAGGAGGCGGATCACAATTACCTTCCAGAAATCGCTGCAAAGGGCATTCAGCAAAATGGCCACGTCTCACAGTTAAAACTACCAGTGCCTCCAGTAACGAGGACTTTGTGAGCCCCTTGCATCTTAAACAGTGTTTGGGGAAGGGGAAGGTGTGCCATTAACAGTAATTCGGAGATAACAGCAAGCCAAATACACCGGGATTCTGAGAATGTGTTCATTTGCTCAAAAAATGACTTTTACTATGTATCTGGCACACATGATAGAACACCTCACCTGAGACCCTTAATTTATGGCCTTCTGTGATGATAAACATTTGGATTTTAGGACAAAATGGTCTTTTATCCTTATATTTCTATAAAGGTAAATACGTATTAAAATGTAAAACAGTACTTTACTACATCACCTTATAAATAAATATGAGCATTAAAATATTTTCTGCTTTTGTCATACCAAAAAAAGTCAAAATTGATCTTTATTTGATATGCTCATTACCGAATTTTTCTTTCTAAATTTAAAAGATAATTTGACTTTATACTCTTCTTATATAGATGGGCCTTTTTAAAAACACACATCTTTCCCACACGTAAGTAAACACGCTTTATTATAGAGAGAAAGTCCAGCCATACTTCTGAGGACATAACCGATTACAATTCTATTTTCTCTGTTAAAATGCAAATTGGCTATTTTTAAAGTGTTTTATTATTGCCATAGAATAAATCCTGCGTTATAATAATAAACGAAATTCACCTAAAACTTCAAAGAAAAGCATCTTTTAAGCATTTTATTTTCTAGAAATCCCAAATTCTTTCTTCTACAAATTTATTCAACTTAAAGGACAATGTCTTTGTGTTACACATGACTATTGTTCAAATGTCAGATTAAATTTCAAGACAAGACAAAGGAAAGAATCTAACTAAATCCCAGCTATAAATAGAGTAGCAATGTGACAGTGACTAAGGCCAGTGCCTGACCAGGATGCTCTGTGTTAGGATAGTAAAGTCTTCAGAACTAATCATACTCACCTCATAGGGAGGTGGTGACGATTAGCGAAATGTCTGAGACAAAGCCCGTGACACCACACCTGGCACAGTGAGGCTCAGAAAACGGTGATGAGGTGGCTGTCGAGTGACTTCAGCCAAAGCTCACCCAGGACCGTGCCCAGCTCAGCCAATGACCGTGCACACTATCGATGCCCCATGAGACAGAGACGCGCTATTGCAGCTAAACCCTAAATGTGGGAGGGGCCAGCACAGGGGACACTTCCTGTTGGCCTGTCTAATATTTTTGAGTTTTCAGCCGAGTTTGCTTTTGACCAATACAGCACAACCTGGCCATGCAGAATGGGAAGCTGGACGGAAGCCTGTCAGAAGGGGGGTCACAGCAAGCCCCGTTCACTCCTCCCAACACCCCGGACCCGAGGAGCCCCCCGAATCCAGAAAACATTGCACCAGGTAACTCAGCGCCTTACAGATAAAACAATAGTCTCTGTGCGTTTAAATGTGCGGCTCGGGTCACGTGGACCCTTCCTTATAAATGGTATCAGGTTGAGACTGCTGGCCTCATTATGGTGTGTTCTTATTTATTAATTAATTACTAGAGGCACTAAAATGTGTGCAAGAGCAGGCCTTCCTTCCGCCGGCTGCCAGCACCGGCTTCCCTCCGGCGCCCAGGACCCGGGCTCCCTCCTCCGGCCACCCACAGGCGCCCAGGACCCAGCTGGCTTCCCTCCGCCTCGGCTTCGTCAGGAAGGACGTCCGGTCTAATTAGCATATCACCCTTTATTATTATAGATTGTATTTTCCATACGAACAACTGCAGGCCTGTTTTTATAGGCTCACCCCCCATCTGTGTGTGGGTAAGTCTGAGGTCAATGTCAGACGGAGACCTGAGGAGCCTGTCTCAGATGGCTCGCTGTATCTGCTGGCAACCACCGGTTACCTTAAAAATAAAGTCATTTGTAATTATATTAACGCTCCTTTTGTGTAAAATTATCCAGCCTGTGGAGCGCTATGATATATGTTTGTCTTCCTTAATTTCACAGTAACTCCACGACATTTTCACTACAACCTGCTCTTTAGAGATTAAGAAACCGAGGTTGCGAGTGGCTATGTGTCAGTTCCGGTCCCAGACTTACAGTCACGGGGTCCTTGCGTCCATGGGTGAAGACACACCGGGGAAAGCACACAGAAATTACGCACTTGTGTGGAGTAGTGAGGGTTTGAGAAATTTAAGAAGGTATAAAATTTTAAATGTCTGGTCTCCACGTGCCTGACCTCTGATCAGCTGCAGGAGGAACAGGAAATAGATGTGGGCAGTGACACTGAAGCACTGAACCCCACACAGAGGACAGGCAGGATGGCCAGTCTGTCCCCAGGGGTCAGAGAGGTCACCTCACACCCAGGCTTCTGCAGGGCCTGACAGGTGAGGAGGGTGCAGGCAGGCCCAGGGGCACAGGGAAGGGGAGGCGGGGAAAGCGGTGGGGGTAGATGCCAGCTTCAGGCAGAGCCTGGGTCTGGAGTACAGATGTGAGGACGGTACCAGGAGGCGAGGCTGCCCAGGGGTGTGGGGACAGGTGAGCCATGCTGAGTGGCTGGGATTTTTGTCCTGGGAAGTGAGTGACACGGTCAAGTTTTCCTGTCGTAGGTCACTGGGTGGTATTAGCGATGGGAAGAGCGTGGGGACCAAAAGCAGGGGCTGCAGTGGGAGGTCTGTGTGCGGGGCCCTGGGAGGCTGGGGGAGGCCTGGGTGCAGGGCCCGGGAGGTCTGGGTGCAGGGTCTGGGAGGTCTGGGTGAGGGTCCGGGTCAGGGCCTGTGGAGGTCTGTGTGCAGGGCCCTGGGAGGTCTGGGTGAGGGTCCGGGTCAGGGCCCGGGAGGTCTGGGTGAGGGTCTGGGTCAGGGCCTGGGAGGTCTGGGTGAGGGCCTGGTAGGGAAGAGAGACTAGCAGGAAGGTCACGGCAGTCAGTGGCTTGTGGATGGAGGGTGAGGGGCTCCGTGAGGACATGGAGCCGGTCACTCAGCGTGTGTGCCAGCGGCGTAGTCTATGCGAGCTGCTGTGAGGCTCCATGGCATCCCAGAGGTGGTCTGCCCTGTGAGAGGAGCGGGCGGGAGGTGAGGCCAGCCGCAGAGTCAGGGACAACGTCCACAGGGACGGGAAGGCCAGGCCCACAAGGGGTGCAGACACAGCCCCCCACGGTGAAGCCTGAACAGCTGCCGGTGCTGGAAGGGACACCCCCTGTGTTACTCCCAACACCGCCGGCCCAGGGACAGTCTCCACGCTGCTCCCTGAGTCCCGGGGGTGCTCCCCACGCGGGCTCCGTGCTCACTCCGCTGCCGTGTTCTCCTGAAGGCTACTCCGGGCCCCTGAAGGAGATCCCTCCAGAGAGGTTCAACACCACGGCCGTGCCCCGGTCCTACCAGTCGCCGTGGGAGCAGGCGGTCAGCGGCCACCCGGAGCTCCTCGAGGGGCTGTACCCGAAGCTGCTCACGCCCGAGGGCCAGGCAGAGCTGCCAGACTACCGGAGCTTCAACAGGTGACCGCGCTGCCGGCGCCCAGGCGGGTGTGCCGGGCTGGGCACCCTGGGCAGGTGCTGCCAGGCTGGGGCTGGGCGCCCTGGGCGGGCGCTGCCGGGCTGGGCGCCCTGCGGGGTCTGCAAAATCTGCTAGAGAACCCCAAAGCCCAGGGGGCCTGGGAGGAGGGTCCGGGGACTCCAATCTTCTACAGGGACGCTGGCGGCTATCCCGCTGGAGTAGAGGTGAGTGAGGGCTATGTCAACACTTGGGTTCTTACCGTAGAAAGAAGGCGTTTGTTGTTGCTGTTTTAATATATTTGTATTGATTCTGGAGAGAAAGGGAGATGGGAGAGAGAGGTAGAAACATCAATGATGAGAATCATTGCTTGGCTGCTGCCTCCTGCAGGCCCCCTACTGGGAATCCAGCCTGCAACTTGGGCCCATGCCCTTGATTTGAGTTGAACCCAGGGCCTTCATGAAAATAAGTGCTTGTGCCCATCAACACAGTCCTGGATTGGATAATGGTCACCTCCTTTATTTTTATTTCATTTTTTAAAATAAATCTTTATTGTTCAGATTATTATAGGTGTTCCTCTCCCCCGCCATAGCTCCCCTCCACCTGATTCCCCACCCCACCCCAGCACTGTCTTCATCCATAGGTGTAAGATTTTTGTCCAGTCTCTTCCCACACCCCTCAGACCCCCTTCCCCCTGAGAATTGTTAGTCCAATCCCTTTCTATGTCCCTGATTCCATTATATTCACCAGTCCATTCTGTTCTTCAGACTTTTTATTCACTTGATTTTTAGATTCACTTGTTGGTAGGTATGTATTTGATGTCTTCTTCTTGTTCATAATTTTTATCTTTACTTTTTTCTTCTTCTTCCTCTTCTTTAAGAATACCCTTCAGCATTTTATGTAATCCTGGTTTGGTGGTGATGAACTCCCTTAGCTTTTCCTTGTCTGTGAGGCTCTTTATCTGACCCTCAATTCTAAATAATAGCTTTGCTGGGTAGAGTAATCTTGGTTGTAGGTTCTTGCTGTTCATCACTTTGAATATTTCTTGCCACTCCCTCTGGCCTGCATAGTTTCTATTGAGAAATCAGCTGACAGTCATATGTGTACTCCCTTGTGGGTAACTAACTGTTTTTCTCTTGCTGCTTTCAAGATTCTCTCTTTGTCTTTTGCCCTTGGCATTTTATTTTATTTTTTATTTATTTATTTTTTAAATATATTTTATTGATTTTGTACACAGAGAAAGGGAGAGAGATAGAGAGTTAGAAACATCGATGAGAGAGAGTCATTGATCAGCTGCCTCTTGCACACCTCCTGGAGATATGCCCACAACCAAGGTACATGCCCTTGACCGAAATCGAACACGGGACCCTTCAGTCCCCAAGTCGACACTTTATCCATTGAGCCAAACCAGTTTCGGCTGCCCTTGGCATTTTAATTATGATGTGTCTTGCTGTGATTGTCTTAGGATTCCTCTTGTTTGGGGTTCTGTGTGCTTCCTGAACTTGTAAGTCTGTTTCTTTCATCAGGTAGGGAAAGTTTTCTGTCATTATTTCTTCTAATAGGTTTTTAATATTTTGCTCTCTCTCTTCTTCTGGCACCCCAAAAATTTGGATATTGGTATGCTTAAAGTTGTCCCAGAGGCTCCTTACACTATTTTCATATTTTTGAATTCTTTTTTCTTTTTGTTTTCCTGGTTGGGTGTTTTTGTTTCCTCATATTTCAGATCTTTGGTTTGATTCTTAGAGTATGTTGATCTATAGTTGAGTCTCTGTATATTCTTTATTTCAGACAGTGTATGCTTAATTTCTGACTGGTCCTTTTCCATATTTTTGGCATTCTCATTAAGGTTATTGCAGGTCTCATCAAGTTTCTCAGCATTTTTAGAAGATTCTTGAGTAACCTTATAAATGTGGTTTTGAACTCTATGTTATCCAGTAGTTTACTTTCCTCCCTTTCTTTCATTTGTGATATGTTTCTGTGTCATTGCATTTTGTCTGCTTCCTGTGTTGATGGAGCAGCTTTGTGTGGTAGGTAACCCATAGGGGCCAGTAGCTCAGCCTCTCCAATCACCTAAGGTGGACGCTCTTGATACACCCCTTTGTGGGCCGAGTACAAAGTCTTGGTGTAGTTAAGCCTTTATTGTTGTTGGTACACTGGGAGGAATTGTCTTCTAGGCCAATTTGCTGTGGGGATCCGCTGTGTCTATAACGGAAGAACTGCTGTGCTGGAGACACTCTTATGGTGCAGGACTTGTTTCAGTGGGGCTTTGGTGCTCATTGAGTCTGCCTCCCAAATGTGTCGTTTATGGATGTGAGGAGTTGAAATCTGGTATCTCACACTGACCACTAGGTACACTGGCTTCTGGATCTCCAATGGGGTGCAGGTCAGCTACTGTCTGAGGCCACCCTGCAGGAGCTACAGTGAGAACCACAGTTTTCTCCACTTTGCTTGGAATTTGGAGCTGTCTGAACCAGGTTGCAAGTTTGCTAGGTTAAGCTGTGATGAGGAAGGCCATTCATATGCAAAAGTCACTGCTTGGAGCTTGGGTGGGTTTGTAGATTGTGTGGGGCAGGGTTTCAGGGTGTCACTAGGCTAGAGTGTAGCAAACAGCTATGGCTGGCAGCCAACTGTCCCCATGCCTCCGACTGCATCTCCATGCCTCATGCCCCAGCATAGCTAGCAATTATTCTTGCACGCAGCTCTGCAAGCAAGCCACACTCACTTTCTGACCTGATGGCAGACAGTCCAGCTTCTCCCATTAGGAGTTTGGGTCCCAAGTGTCTCCCTAGAAACTGGATTTCAGAGAAATCGGGAGCTTGTCTCCTTTCGAGTTGAAGAAAGCAATACCCGCCACCAGTCCGGATCACACACGCCTCCATACCTCAGCTTTTCAGTGCTTGTGCACTGAATGCTCTTTTCTCTTTCCTTCTACTTGTACAACTTCCACTCAGCCAGCCCTCCTGTGGCTCTGGGTGATAGACATCTTGTCTTTTAGTTATAGTTTTAAAATTGTTGTGCAAGGCAGCAGTTTAGATATTTACCTACACCGCCATCTTGGGTTCTCTGGTCACCTCCTTTAAATCAAACTGCTTGCCATGGACAAAGATGACACCACCGACAGACTCAAATGATCTTTACAATGTTTATTCAAGAAGCTCACCAGTCAGTTCAAAATTACCAGGCATGACAAAAATGACTGAAAATGAAGAGAAAAACAATAAACAACAGAGACAGAAACACAAAAGATTGTAATATCTGACACTCACTTTAAAGCAATTGTGAGAAACATGTTTGAGAGAAGAGATGACAAAAGTGAAGAATTCCAGCCGATTAAGAATGGTTTTTATAAAGTGTCAAATGGAAATTCTACAAAAACAAAAATACTGGTACAGCAACTGAAATTTAGAAGTCAAAGTGCTAAGTCACTGGATCCATATAAGATCTGCAGGAAATACAGAGGACAGAGAAATGCTAACATTTTACCAAAAGAGTGAATGTAACCAGTACAGTTCGGTCTGTAGGACACACAATTCAGTGTCTTCAGTAATAAATTGCAGAGAAGGATGAGAGGGACATCTGTAGCATAAAAATGATCTGAAAGAGAATTTTGAAAGACAGGCAAAACTAATCCACTGTACTTAAACACGCACACTTGGGTTATTACCATAGAAAGAAGGTGGGTTTTTTTTGTTGTTGTTGTTTGTTTGTTGGTTGTTGTTTTTAATATATTTGTATTGATTTTGGAGAGAAAAGGAGATGAAGAGAGAGATAGAAACATCAATGATGACAGAGAATTATTGATCTACTCACTCCTGCATGCCCCCCTCTGGGGACCCAGCCCACAACCTGGGCATATGCCCTTGATTTGAGTTGAACCCAGGACGCTTCAGTCCATAGGCCAATGCTTTATCCAGTGAGCCAAACCAGCAAGGGCACCATAGGAAGAAGGTTTTAAAACATATTTTGTAAGTTGATATTGACATGAAAGTCAAAACACCGCTGACCCCTAGGCAGGCGAGGGCTGACTGGCAGGCCCCTCGGTGCTCCTGTAGGGACTCAGGACGGGTGCTGGTGACAAGGTGGTTCACTTCTGAATAAGCTTCTGTGCTTGTCTATGAGGTTTCTGTACTCGTGCTACATCCAGTGACAGAAATGTTTTAAAAAAATAAACAAATAAACTTCATGGCAGATTGAACATAGCGGGGAGGACTCACAGACTGAAGTCAACAGTGTGCAAACTGGAGCAGAGGAGACGCGGGGTTCCCACTGCTGGGAAGAGCAGAACACACTTGGCAATGAAAATGCCAGCATGTGGTGTGGTTAAAGGCTCGGGAGGGGATAAGGGAAAGTGGGGTAGAAGCAATAGCTGAAGAATTCATGGCCCAGAAAATTTCAAACTTGACGAAACACATCAGGCCTCAGATTCAGGAAGTACTATGCGACCCAGGAAACCACACAAAGTCAGGGCTGCAAATCAGCGGAAAAACCAAAGACAATGGAAGCATCTTAAAGCTCGTGGAATCACGCCTCTAAAATTCTGAAATAAATAATGGCCAGCCTGTAAGTCCATATCCAGTAAAAGCAAACACTCTTTTTAAGGTGGTTAGGGGGCTATCAGGCTGGCAGGCAGAGTGGTTAGGTGAGAAGCCAGCAGTCCCAGATTGTGAGAGGAATGTCCGACTGTCTGTGGGATTGGGCCTAAACCAGCAGTGGGACCGAGGGGTCCCAGATTGGAGAGGGTGCAGGCTGGGCTGAGAAACAACACCCCTCTCCCCCAGTGCATGAATTTCGTGCACCAGGCCTCTAGTAAATATATAAAAGGAAAAATAAATTTGTCCTTATTCCCAAATGACATGATCATGTCCCCATGAAATTCAAAAGGAGCTCCAGGTTAGAATTAGAAATTTAGTAAGATCACAGAGTACAAAATCAACATAAAAATTAATAACATTTTTATATACCAGCAACAAGTAACTAAAAAATAAATAACATTCATCAAGTTTTA